CCTCGATTTCCACAGACCCGCCGCCTTCCCCACCCTCGGCTCAGGCTCCAGAGTGAAGCTTTTTGACTTTTTGTGGTACTACCAAAGCAACCCCTTATTCCGCCTCGAGGGCCAGAGGCCTTTCTGAGGCTCGAAAGTGGTCCTTTTCTCTACCCAAAAGCAACCACTATTGGCCTCGCCACCTTCTAACAATGGCCCTGTGCTTTTGGGAATGCGACAAAACATGCTACTTGGCATTCTTCAGCAGCAGCAACATCCTACCGTAATTAAGACCTGGTTAATGATTCACGAAGGTGAAAATCGAATTTCAATAGCAAATATCACAAAGTACACAGAAACATTAGGAAGTACATATTGAAGCAAAGAGCAATTAGCATCATCTGTTTCAGAGTCATCGAGGTAGAAAGCAGTTGACCACAAGGATCACCCTTTTTCAGGGATGACGAAATCTGGATAGCATGACAGCGTGACTAGGTGCAAAAGTATGAACACGTTTAGATAACAATATATTACAAAAGATGATGAGTAATAAATTGTAAATCATTAAAAAATAGTATAGCTAATTAGTTCATTTCTAAAGGAGTATATTCCCTAGATCAGCAAATTCTTCCCCTTCGGATGAGCCTGATCGTGACTGGAATGATCCAGGAAGTCGGATCTGAATCGGAGCACGCCCTGGCTGATCGAGCAAGCGAGCAAAGTGAAGTTGGGCCTTTTTTCACGCTTTTAAGTACATAGACTGACATAAATGGGTTGAATATACATAGGTGGTCCAAATTGGCGCGTTGCCATCAGTGCGACCTGGAGATCGAAATCGGACCTAAACTTACGCAGCTCAGCCTAATTTCCGATCCCATTCGATCCCACCGGAGTTGGTAAATTGGTATTGCATTGATGTGGTAGGATAAATGGTTGACCCGTACATCGGCGGACCATCATAGGCTGTTGGATGAGACACGCACGATCCCAGTAACATCGATGATCCTTCTTAAATTCAAATGCCTGGAGTATCCCAGAACGGGATTCCCCGACACCAAAAACTCTGTTCTCAATATAGATAGCAGCGAATAGCGTATGAAGAAGATGGCTGAACAATCCCAAAATTTTTTTCCAGGGCGTTTTCAAGCGACACGAAACTGACATAAGAGCAACTGAAATTTGTGGCTATTCCCGTTTGTTTTTTATCAAACTACTGACTGCTCAGAGAGCTTCATAACAACTTAATGGAACTCAATTTCTCAAAAAATACGAGCCTCTTGAACTGCAGTGGAAGCCTTTTCCATCGTTTTTCCCTTATGAATGTAGGATTACGGTACTACCATCGGTTCACGCCCTGGTTGCTCCGATTAATCGGGCTGGATTCATACGTCCTCTGTGGTGACGTTTGGACCTAAAGAACAGCCGTTCTAGCCCAAATAAAACATCTAATTACGGTTTGCCTGATTGAAAATTGTTCAAAGGACTTCAAGCATAGAAACGAACTATTTCCAAGTAGAGGGGATATCAGTTGACGCAAGGGGGTCTTCTTTTGTATTACGTATTCCAGCAGGTTAGCCATTTTCCGTCAAATTGACGTCTTTAAGATATGGATCGCTTTGAGAATAAGATAATGAGGGAGATAGGGGGAGGGTTGGAAGGATATCCAAAGACGTCTTTAAGCCAAATACCCAGAACTTTGCACCCAGACGGACCTATCAGGGAACTGTTTGCCTGCTCAGAATGGCCCCTTGCATGATGCTGCTGGTCCTCAGAGGCCTTGTGCGGCCTTATACGTGCCTATAGCACACCTAAATCTGTCTTCAAGTTTAAACCTAAGTATGGTACATGGGTATACCCGGAGAACTTGGGAAACTATGAATACAGCTTGTCCACCCTTCTGAAGTGGGACATCAATTGGAAGGCAGCTACAGCCTTCCCGTCAATCTTAGCCGGCAGCGAACGAATGATACACGACGCCGCTGACGGTCTCCGTATTTTCGCCACATATTTAAACAACGGCGAACGATTGAAAAAGTCACATTGTGACAGAAAATTGAGCCAGTCAGGCGCCAATAGCCTTGCGGACCCCCCTGAACTGTGTAAGCATTCTGCAGCATCTGGCATGAAAACTTCTGCAGAATCGAAATCAGTCAAGTTGGACTGGTCAGAAAATTTAAAGAATGGCAGTGGATCGAATTTGCTCGGGTAAACCCAGAAGGCCTTCTTTTACATGGTTCAATGTTGAACATTGCTTTTGAACCCTCTTTTGCCCTTTTATCCTCCTTCCCCTTCTCACTCATATCCCTCCTCCGATCCCCCTCGGGGCCAATAATTACCACCCGACAGGGATTCCTGTTGATTTATTATCGCCTGCAATCCAGTCCGATTATGATCGACTACAAATAATTCGCCGAAGTACAAAAAATAACATAAACCAGTGATGTTACCATATGGGCAAGGACCTGGCCAT